TTTTTGTAAGTATTTCCGCTATTCTACAGAACTCAAATTTTTGTGTTTTTTCGCAAGTTTTTTTTATTGGCAAAATTCTTGCGGAATCGCATTTTTTCGCCATCCCACCATTCTATAAAATTTACCAATTCGAACCTCCATTCCACATAGTTTACCGATTCGAGCCTCCAAAGTCTATCACCTCTGAGTATACAGTACATTTTTGTCAAAAGCTAGTCTTGATTTTCGTTCTGCCACTGAAACTGGGTTCTGCTTTTGCTAGTGTCAAGCATAAAAATCTAAAGAACCCTGTTGACTTATGTTAATCAATAGAATTTTATTTCATTTTATGATTATAAATGTCACAAACTTCTACATCTGATATTCACAAGGTAAACAAAGTCTACACAAAACACATTACCCAAAACAGAGTCAACAAGTTTAGGCAGAGACTTTATAACAGCAAAATGAAACTTATGAGAGAAATAAAGAAGGTGATGATGATGATGAATCATGATCCTTCACTATATCTTCAATTTGCTTCATCTGATCATCATCTTCACTCTCTTTGTGTTGCACCTTGTCATCATCCTTCATCTTAGCATTATGGTCATCCTCAATGACATGAACATCATACATAATCGGTTCTCTATCCTCAGTATCATCTCCATCATCATCAGTGTGCTTGTAAGTTTCAAGTTCTTTCTCAAGAAAATGCTTCTCTCTCTCCCTTTTGAAGAGAATCTCCTTGAGAATATTCATCTCTTCTTCGTCATACGCAAATTTCTCCTCAATCATTCTCTCATACTGTTTCCCTTCCATTTCAAGTGAGGCTTTATCAGCTTGTAACCTCAAAATCATAGCCATAGCTTCATCAGCTGCTGATGCTGAAGCTGCTCTTTCTTCCTCCAGTTCCAACATTAAAGAAGCTCGAGCTAATCTCTCTTCCTGAACAGTTTCTTCAAGCAATCTCACCTTATTCTTCAATTCCAAGTTCTTATCTTTTTCAACCGAGTTCTCCCTCTCTTCTTGTTCTTGATGATGCCACACTCTTGTTCTAATGGTGGTAGTAGCCATCTTCTGGATTCTGAGTATGATTTCGAATGACGAATCAAAGAGAAGTTTATGGATCCCAGAACTGGGAGAAGGCAAATAGACTAAGAACTTGGATACAATAAAGAAGAAAGCTGATACGCATAGAAGACAATAAGCAAATGCTAATTCAAGAAAAGCAATCAAAATATCACAAAATGTCAATCTTTGACATTCAGGGTAGTCCATTTTCTTTCAGTCAATAGCCAGATCTTGCCTGAATCTCGAAACTCAGTATGTGAATATGAACAAAATCTGGTGATCTGTAAAGCGAAACCAATAACCATAAAAGAAAAAAACGATTAGATTGTACTAGAATCAAAATTTCAAGAACACTTAGTTTAAACAATCTTTTCTGCAAAGAAAGTGTGCAAAAACCAAAATTAAAGAATCAGCATGCTTTGACTCTGGGAAAATTTCACAGATGTTATGAACTTATACTCATAATTTGATTAGCCAAAAAGAGAATTCATAATTTCCAATCAAGATTTAACCATGAGTTTTCTATAAAGGAAACGAAGATTGTAAAAGCTATAAAAGAAACCAATAAAGGAATTGAGGAACTATGAAACACAAGCTATGAGACAGAAACCTCAACGAATGTTTTTTTACCAGTAGAAAAATTAAGGGAAATTAATTGCGTAGTTCAGAAGAAAAATCAAGAAAAAAGAAAAGAGGATAGAGATGAAGCTGAGGTCAGAGAAAAGCACCTGAAAGTGGAAAAGTCAGAGGAAGGAGAAAGAAAGAGGAGGAGCTCCGGCTTTTAGCTCGGGAGAGAGAAATAGAGAATGAGAATCTTCGTTGTGTTATTTATTTTCTAATAGATTAAATAAAATGAAAAAAGAGTCGGCATAAAAAGAGGTAATTTTTATTCTGTGTTGTCGCTTTATTTACAAGTTCTACAGATAATCAAAAGGATCGATCCACGTGACCAAAGACTTAGGTGTCTAGCGGCCGATAGAGTAGTATAGCCTAAACAATATTTTTATTTTTATATAAGGAAAATCGAATATTTATCCACAGATGTATATCCTTCCAAGTTTTAATAAAATTTACAGTTGATAAAAAAAATGATACTTTTTTGACAATTTTAAGTATATTAATGATTTACAGTAGAACCTTTATAAATTAATATTTGATAAATTAATAATTATTATAAATTAATAATTTTTGCTGGTCTCAAATTGGACAAGTGTAAAAATTAACAAAATTCGATAAAATAATAAAATAATACTTTTTTAAAAAATTCTATGTAAAAACATGGTCCCAATAATAATATAAATTAATAATTATATATTTAGGTATATATTAATAATATAATATAGTAAACTATGATAATATTGTTGTTTCAACTTTATAAAATTTGTTTGATTTATCTTCTAAATTCATTATTATGATATTTTTTAAATAAATTTTATATTGTTGAAGATATTGATTTTATTTTTTTTGATAAATATCAAAAATTCAAACTAAAAATATCTCAATAAATTAATATTTTAATAATTTATCGATACATTAATAATTATTAATTTATCGATTAATTAATAATTTTATAAATTAATAAAATTTGAGAGTTCCAACATTATTAATTTATAGAGGTTTTACTGTACGTATACATACAGAATTATATTTTATTATATATTTTTAGATTTATAATACTATTATCATTTTATTTTAAATTTATTGATAGAATAATTTTAAAGTTGCTAACTATATAAATATTGTTAAAACTAATATGTACATTTTTTTGTTTATAATATTAAATATTATTTTATTTTAAAAAATGCATACTAAAATTCTCTTTAATTTTTTTGTTTTGAACTTATAAAAAGAAGAAAACTTTTTTTTATATAATTTTATACTAAAAGTAAATAATTTAAATTTATAAATAAATAGAAACTTTTTAGTTTACAAAACTGATTATAGCACTAAAACACAAATAATCACTAAAAATTGATAAAAATTATTTGATGTCACGTAAACTCAACAGTTTACAAAAAAATGTGAAGAAAAAAAAATCTTAATGTTAACCAAAATATTATTATTATTAAATAATTCATTGACACAGAGTAAAACTAATAGAAAATATAGAAAACCTGACATTTTTATCTTCATAATATAACATGTCTTTTATTGCTTTGAAGTTTGGTTCTACAACACTTCAATGATTTTTAATTTGGAAATACATATTTTTTGTAATCGTATTTTTTACACCTAATTTTATTTAAACATATTCTGTTATAAACTGAACAAAAACAATTACTCCCTCCATTCCATATTGTATGATGTTTTGGGTTTTTATTTTATTTCAAAAAGATTGATTTTTTATATTATATTTAATATATATTTTTTTTAAGATAATTTTTTGGATAAAAAATATAAAAAATCAGTATTAAATTAATAAACAAACAAAATTACTTTAGAAAAGTAAATAATCATTTTTTTCTTAATATCTGTGAAACATCTAAAACATCATACATTCTGAAACGGAGGGAGTAATAGTTTGACATAAATCAGAATTTAATAACCTTTAGAATATGAGAATGGAAACCTCAGAAACATCTATGTCAATTCACAAATGCACATGTTTCCTATAATTTCTTCTTATTTTTTTTATCACTAACAAGACATATTACAATTTTTCCATCACATCCTACATTATAATTAGGGAACACGGTTATTAACTGTTTTTTCTTTCTTCTTTCTCTATTAGCCTTTCATGATGTGATGATGATGATGGTGGTGGTGGTGAATGGTGATGGTAGTACCCGTATCATGGAGCGGAGAGAGGTGGAGTAGCCAAACATGTTGTTCAAAGGCACCTGTTAAAACCAAGATATCTACTTCTTAATTACGGTTTAACAGATTATTAATAGTAAGAAAATATGGTTTTTATTAGCTCTCTCACATGAGCTTGGATTACTGAATCGTCACCCTCTTGATCGTTTCCAACGATTTTACCTTTCCACCTGAAAATAGGACAAGTTTTGAATTTTGTTTATCACCAATAATTACAGAACAAGGAAGAAAAGTGACTGTTAGGGGATTTTAAGGTCTATGATCTTACCTGTTGATGTCACCAGCAACAGTACCCTGAAACTCTGTTGGTACTTTCAACTCAACTAACATGACAGGCTCTAGAATCACCAGTCTTGCCGCTGTGTAACAAAGCCTGAATGCGTATGTTGCAGACATTTTAAACGCAAGTTCACTAGAATCTACGGCATGTGAAGTTCCATTTGTCAATACTATTCTGAGATTTTCTACAGGGTGACCAATTAGTGAGCCCCTGCAATGGAATCAGATAAGATTTTACACAATCAGTGACAACACGAGAGGGGCATCCAAAAGGCCAAAGAGATAAAAGAACACTCACGAGTTTGCAGCTTCTTTGAAACCTTTCTCAATTGCTGGAATAAAACCAGACGGAATCACTTGTCCAACGATTATGTCGAATTCAAACTCCTCTTTAGAGTCCAGCGGTAGAGGTTCCACGTACCTAACAATAATAAGAGAGTTTAAGCAGACTTCGTTAGGATTGGTTTAGAAGGGACCCCCCCAATAACATCATTTAGAGTCTATCAGTTTTCAGATACTCACCCGGTAACCCTACCGTACTGACCCGCTCCTCCACTCTGCTTCTTATGTACATAATCGAACTCAGCTGGCTGAGTGATAGTCTCCCTAAAATTGACACAGGGTTTGCCGACAGTTGCATCTACATGTTTGAAATTGCCATAAACAAGCAGAAATGAGAGATTCCCTTTTTTGTTGAGAATCGATAAAGTGAGAACATTGTGTAGGTTTAATGTCAGGCACCTTATATTCTCTCTGCATGCGTTCAACATAAATGTCCAAATGCAATTACCCATACCAGAAATAATCATCTGTCCCATTAAGAATAAGTGAAGAATCATCAATGTTGAATACTACAGGCTGAAATAAGAGATAGAGAGAGGTGATGAGAAGCAACGGAGTTCTTTAGATAATACAAGGCCACTCTCCGGATCCAATCTCACTTTGAAAGTAGGATCCTCTTTCTGGAATCGATTCAATGCTTTCGAGAACTGTTTATCAAAGACAGAAATTAAAGGAAACAAATGAAGTTGTTTTCTCTACAAAGTTCACAGAAGTTTAGTTACCTGTCCGCCAGAATCTTTTGAAACTGGTTGAACAGCCAAGGACATAACAGGTTCACGAACACTCATCGATGTCATTGTGTACTTTGTAGCAATCTTCTACAGCACCAACCAACACGCTCTGCATACTGATTGTTGTAACCTGTGGAATTGTATATAAGAATGGTTCAGAAAACTGATGGTGTTTTCAAATTGAGCAGTAGAGAAATATTGTATATACCATTATTAATGCATTCGCAATGCCAATAAATACGGAGATCGCATACATAAAAGAACCAATGTCTCTAGGCAATAGACGGAGATCGCACCACAGAATATCCAAATAATACCACCAGCTGAATAATACGCCTTTAAGCGACTCCCATTCCACGGAATCTCCTACATTATTATGATTATTGCACGCAAAAGTAATTACACGGGAGGATAAAAAAAAGAGAAGCTTTTGGACATAACTGAAGAAGGGATATGTGAGAATGCGAACCTGGAGCAGGACCAAAACAATGAAGAGATATAGATAATTGCAGGGACCTGAATAATACTACCATTTTATCAAGAGAGAGTAATTGAATAGAACTAAAACGATCAGATGAGTAAAACAAATGCTTTTTTACGGATTGATCCATTTGCAAATCATCTATAACGAAAAATGCAAGATATGCCTGAGAAGGTGGAATGCAACACCTGGTGTGAGAATCTGTGCTGATACAAACATAAACAGAATTCAAGATAGAAAGAAACATTCAATACTAATCGAGTGAGGAGGTAAACGATAGCGACTTGATAGTATAGAAGTTTTCGAAACCAATAGGCCCATGGTGTTCTTGCTCGGCAAGTTTCTCTCAAGTCTATCCTCATCCTTTTAGAGAACAACATTCATATGACTATACACATCTCTTGTTAAAACCCAGAACTCAAGAGGATTGAGCATAGGCATTCCTCGGCTCTTTTGTCCCCATAAGAAATATGATCACAAAGCAGCATCCGATTGTGATAGATGAATATGCAATCCAGCGATACTGCAGAGTTAAAGAGACAAACACGCAATCAATACTGAAACACACTTACTCTCAATCTATATACACATAATGGAGAAATCAACACAAAGTATGAAACATGGGTTTCAGTATTTTCTTTCGACCCAGCCTTGATATCGCCGAAGACTACTAAAGCAATCGCATATAGGCCCAGATTAGCAACCGGAAAAGCAAATCATCTAGTCATTGTTAAATCACATAAAGAAATATATGTGGTACCAAACACAATAGATCAGGGAAAGAGCTTGACCACATTATTTCTAAAGCATTGCACCAAGGTTCCTGCACTTGTCGTCGTCTTCTTTCCCTCACATCACATCTTCGGCGATCCAACTCAATGGCAACAGGTCTGCTCCTTTGATGGAAGCACGATTTTTAGCGAGTCTTGTGCAAAATTATCCCAAGAAATCGAAGTTTCTCTGAGATCTGGGCATCCTTCCCAAAACATTCATTGGAATCAGATCTCAGTCGTCATCACTGAGAGAGAGAGAGAGAGAGAGAGAGAGAGAGAGAGAGAGAGACCTATGAGCGCAAAACCTAACTAAAAACATAATAGGTGATTGTATATTCGATGGTTTATTGGAAATTGTTGTAGATGGAATATTGACTGGTTTTTGATATTGAAGAGAACGAAGTATATTTAGAAAAACAAAATTTTGAAAGCTGACTAGGTTAACCCAACATATACAGGCGGATTGATATTTTATTATATATTTTTAGATTTATAGTTAATAAAAATTTATATGTTTAATATAATGGTGATATAATTTTGAATTTGTTAATTTATATAAATATGTAAATATTGTTTAAATTAATCTGTACGATTTTGCTTATAGTTTTCAATGTTATTTTTATTTTTTTATCTATGTGGATTTTTTTTACTATAATTATATATATATATAATTTTATATATTAGTGAATTGATGAATAAACTTTTTTATCGTTTCGATAGATAAAATAAAAAATTTGATAAGAAATTTAAGTTATTTTTTGAAATATTAAGTTATTTTCAACAACCATTAATATCACTCAAATTTTTATGATACGATATCTTTATTATTTCATGTATGTATTTTTCACAAACTTATCATAAATATAGTGTTAGTTTTAAATTTATTAGTTGCAAAAAAATAGATGAAAACTTGATGGCATAGTGCATTGAAGACGTCCACATAGGACAAAGAAACTCAATCTGATTGGTCCACATTATCGTTTTTCGTTAATCACAAGAATGTTAAGTATGATTAAAATAAAGAAACTCAATATGATTGGCCCACATTAGTGTTTTTTATTAAACATAAAATATTAAATTTGATTAAAACATTACAAAATTAATTTCTATTTTTTTAAAACATTAATTTCATTTTATAAATGGAAAAATCAAAACAAAAACCTTAAGTAACAAATAGAAAAGAATTAATTTTAAAAAATAGTAATATAGTATCCTTCAAAATTAAATGGAAATTTAATGTCAAAATAGTTAATCTAACAAAAAAAACCATCAGTCTATCTATACTATAAAAGATGACCAACTCTTTCCAGTTGAGTCTCACCTCATCATTTGGGTTTAATGTGAAAATGACATGTGTCTTTTTAAAATTTAATGATACAAATTATATAAAATACAATTAAGGCATAAATTAATATATTATTAATCATAATACTAAAAGAATATGAAAAATATGAAGTATTAGATAATATATTTTAACAACATTATATACTTAATATAAAAAAAACCATTATTGCATATATATTATTTGGTAGTTTTCAAAATCATTAAAACAATTTATGTTTCTTATTTAAGAGTGTTTTCTTATTTCTTATTAATATCCCAAGTTATTACTATAAAAAAATTATTAAAATATAAAAATAAAAATCATTTGATATTTTGAACTTTAAAAAGTTAGAAGAAAAATTTATACAATATTATAATAAACTTGTAAACAATTTCTTTATAAACCAATAATTATTTGATAATTTATTTTATTCAAACTTGATCCATTAATAATTTTTAAATTATTAAGATATCAAAGCCCTAATATATTTATTTATACAATGTTTAATGCAGCTGTATAAATTAGGCGGATTGATATTTTATTATATATTTTTAGATTTATAGTTAATAAAAATTTATATGTTTAATATAGTGGTGATATAATTTTGAATTTGTTAATTTATATAAATATGTAAATATTGTTTAAATTAATCTGTACAATTTTGCTTATAGTTTTCAATGTTATTTTTATTTTTTTATCTATGTGGATTTGTTTTACTATAATTATATATATATATATAATTTTATAGATTAGTGAATTGATGAATAAACTTTTTTATCGTTTCGATAGATAAAATAAAAAATTTGATAAGAAATTTAAGTTATTTTTTGAAATATTAAGTTATTTTAAACAACCATTAATATCACTCAAATTTTTATGATACGATATCTTTATTATTTCATGTATGTATTTTTCACAAACTTATCATAAATATAGTGTTAGTTTTAAATTTATTAGTTGCAAAAAAATAGATGAAAACTTGATGGCATAGTGCATTGAAGACGTCCACATAGGACAAAGAAACTCAATCTGATTGGTCCACGTTATCGTTTTTCGTTAATCGCAAAAATATTAAGTATGATTAAAATAAAAAAACTCAATATGATTGGCCCACATTAGTGTTTTTTATTAAACATAAAAATATTAAATTTGATTAAAACATTACAAAATTAATTTCTATTTTTTAAAAACATTAATTTCATTTTATAAATGGAAAAATCAAAATAAAAACCTTAAGTAATAAATAGAAAAGAAATTAATTTTAAAAAATAATAATATAGTATCCTTCAAAATTAAATGGAAATTTAATGTCAAAATAGTTAATCTAACAAAAAAAACCATCAGTCTATCTATACTATAAAAGATGACCAACTCTTTCCAATTGAGTGTCATCTCATCATTTGGGTTTAATGTGAAAATGACATGTATTTTTTAAAATTTAATGATACAAATTATATAAAATACAATTAAGGCATAAATTAATATATTATTAATCATAATACTAAAAGAATATGAAAAATATGAAGTATTAGATAATATATTTTAACAACATTATATACTTAATATATAAAAAAAATTATTGCATATATATTATTTGGTAGTTTTCAAAATCATTAAAACAATTTATGTTTCTTATTTAAGAGTGTTTTCTTATTTCTTATTAATATCCCAAGTTATTACTATAAAAACAATTATTAAAATATAAAAATAAAAATCATTTGATATTTTGAACTTTAAAAAGTTAGAAGAAAAATTTATACAATATTATAATAAACTTGTAAACAATTTCTTTATAAACCAATAATTATTTGATAATTTATTTTATTCAAACTTGATCCATTAATAATTTTTAAATTATTAAGATATCAAAGTCCTAATATATTTATTTATACAATGTTTAATGCAGCTGTATAAATTAGGCGGATTGATATTTTATTATATATTTTTAGATTTATAGTTAATAAAAATTTATATGTTTAATATAGTGGTGATATAATTTTGAATTTGTTAATTTATATAAATATGTAAATATTGTTTAAATTAATCTGTACAATTTTGCCTATAGTTTTCAATGTTATTTTTATTTTTTTATCTATGTGGATTTTTTTACTATAATTATATATATATATACTTTTATAGATTAGTGAATCGTCGTCGAGTCGCGAGTCGTCGTTCTAGGGCGGAAGCTTCTTGTCCCGGAGCGATGAGATGACCGCCGTGTTCGGTCCTGATCGGCACTTAAACAATGTCAGGCGAGCCTTCGGGTGGACCGAAAGGGGGTTCCCTCCCGAAGGTTCTCCGACGCCCAAGTTAGCGGACATCCTATCGGGAACAAATACTCAGGAGGGGAGCTTTCTATGGGTTAGTCGTGAGAAGTCTCATCCGGGGATCGAGATTTCTCTCTGATTCCGGGTGTTTCAAAGGGGGTATCTACACATCGAAGGGTGATCTGTGTAGAGACGTCAGTAAGAGAAGAATCTAGCCGGTTGTTCATCTCAACAAACTTCTGATTTGTAGAAGCTTGACCTTGAAGCAACTGCTGAAACATTGCTTGAACCGGATCATGAGGTGGGGGTTGCATTTGTTGCTGCTGTGGAACGAAACCAGGAGGAAACATAGGAGTGTAGCCTTTGTTGCCTTGTTGTTGTTGCTGCTGACCTTGGAAGTTCCCTTGCCTTTGACCTTGATATCCACCATTTTGTTGAAAACCCTTGTTGTAAGGAACAAACGGTTTTGCTTGTTGAGAGGGGTACACCTGATCCTTTGGATTCTCAACGTCGGTGCTACGGTATGAGAGGTTGTTGTTGTCCTGGTAGCCTTGAGAAGCCCTGAGGCTTGTTGTAGTTCTGACCAGCAATCCCATTAGCTTCTTCTTGGCTCAGCTTTAACTCCTCCAAGACATCTTCGGCTTCTCCTACGAAATGTACTTGCTTCTGATTTGCAAGCACTAGCTTGTCTATCTTCTCATGGAGGGACTTAAGCTCTTTTTTGTGTGACTCCAGCTCAGAACCTCTAGGTGCTCGGTCATAATCTTCGGTGTAATTCCCGTCACTTATAGCCAAGTTTTCTATGAGCTCCATACCCTCTTCCACTTCTTAACCAAGAAAGTTATCCTTGCTTGTCGTATAAAGTAGCATTCGGATCTTGGGTAATGCTCCTCGATATATTGTGCTCAAGAGAGTCTCTTCACTGAAGCTGTGGTGAGGACACTGAATGGTATAGTCCTTGAATATCTCCATAGCTTCACTGAATGTCTCGTTCTGCCTTTGAGTGAATCCGCTAATCTC